TCTCTCTATAACAAGCAAAGGCGTTTGTCATTACTCCAAAATCCCTTGAATTGTGCTGGAAATTAGGGTCATCTGCCTCAAACATTTTGTTGCTTAGTTGATGAGTAGGCATGAAAGAACCCAAATGTTTTGAATGTTTCCATGGGACTTCATTAATGATCCTCAGCACTTCCATTTCAATAAATCAGATGAAATAAGATGAATTTGATTAACTTGGATCAGTTTGTAAGCATTTAATAATTGGGTTGGCTTAATGAGGGACAACAGTGTTGGCCACTCAATTATTACAAAGTCACAAGTATGAGTTTTAGATATTGTCATGTGGCTATTACTTTATTTTTTAGCATAATAAAAGAATAACTCACATAAATAGGTAAACATGCTTAATGATGGTATATGTATCAGTTTTCTGTATTACCACAAACTTAGTGGCTTAAAATTCATTTATTTCCTAATAGCTCTGGAGGTTAAAAGTCTTAAAATCAAGGAATCAGTGTGCATGTGAATCCATTTTTGTATATTTTTTGAGTTTCTAGTGTCTACACAAATTCTTTGGCTGTGGCCCCTTCCTTATACCATTTCATTCTCTGCTACCATTGTCATATTTTTTTTCTCTCTCATTGTGACTTTCCTGCCTCCCACTTAGAAGGACATGTGTAATTACATTGGATGCACTGGATGATCTAGTGTAAACCCCACATTTGAAAATCCTTAACTTCATTACACTTGAAGTTCCTTTTGCTATGGAAGGTAATATTCAAAGGCTTTGGAGATTAGGACATGGGCATCATTGAGGAGGGAGAACTACCACACCATATTAACGGGAAAAAAAAAAGTGAGAAATTGTATGATCTCCTGCATCTCTGAAATGCTGAACCCAAACAGTTCATTTCTGATCATGATTTTCTGTCTATTGCCCTCATTTCCTTGATACATCTATTTTTTCAACATTACTGAGACTATCAATTCCTGCTCCAATGTTGTGCTCCAATGTTGATCCTCTTACTTTCCTCCTTAGTTCCAATTATATAGAATATAGATTCTGTTCCAACAATTACATTGAAATAACCCTGATGTACATACAGACAAATCCAAAGTCCAGTTCATGATGAAACCCCATCCCAACCTAGTTCTCCAGGTTTCTTATATAAGGTAATTGTGCTATAATTGTCTTGAACACATCTTAGATGTTTTGTCTCAATTATTGCACACTATGTCAGTTACCAGACCTGTAGATTCAAGTTCCTCACACATACATACACACACACACACACACACACACACACACACATGCATATTATTCAAATATCTCATATATATTCTAAATAGTATTCAATTTCTTAATAATACAGTGCACATAAATATCATACTTTTTTCATATCTTTATTATAGGATCAGATATTTATGTATATTCTTTTATACCTTTTGAAACATTTAATTATTTAATCTACCTGAAAGTTCATATATGGTGTGTGGTGTGTGTGTGTGTGTGAGCGTATGTGGTTTAAGGGAGCAATCTAGTTTTTTATTTTTACCAAGTAATTATTCATTTGTTACAGCACCACTCATCTACTATCCATATTTATTATGCCCTTATGAATGTATATAATAAATGCAACCTTTATTATCCTTCTATATAATAAAGAGCTAATATGCTAATAGTTGTCACATGATCACGTTGTAATGACCGATCAGCAGGAGGCTGCATGTGTAGGTGGGTTGGGCTGCATGCTTGGAGGTGTGTGTGTGGGTGGGAGGGAACTTGACAACCGCCTCCTTCTAAACAAAGCTGCAGCAGTTGCCTGAGGCTCAGGCCAGCCACAGAGGGCTGCTGCCACTGTCCCGGGCCATCCCAAGCCTCAGGCAAGCCACTAGTGATGGCTGCTGCTGCTCAGGGCCTGAGGCTCAGACAACAAGGCTAGGCTGAGGCTCAGGCAAACCACAGTGGCACTGAAGGTTTTCTTGGGGCATCAAGATCGGCCATGGGGAGTGGGCCTAAGCCATCAGTAGGACATCCTCTGAGGGTTCCTGTACTGTGAGAGGGGGCAGACCGGGCTGTGAGAACCCCCGCCACCCCTAGTGCACAAATTTTCATGCACCAATCCTCTAGTTTACTATATAGGTTGGCCGGCAGGGGTGAGGGGCTGTAGGAGGTTGGCTGGCCATGGGAGGTTGGCTGTGGGGGATACAGGGTGGGACAAAAGTAGGTTTACAGTTGTGAGTATATGAAACACATAGTTTATTTTATATTACTTTTGCCCCTCCTACACACACACACACACACACACACACACACACACGACCTGTTTCTGGGTTTGCTTTCTATTTTTATTGATTTTTTTCTCTATTCTTGAGCCATACCACACTATTTTAATTATTCCATTTTTTATAATGTTTTAATAGCATAATATGCTTTAATTACTCATCTTCTTCAAGATTTTCCTGTTATTTTTACTTGCCTATTTTTCTGCTACCTAAAAAAAAAAAATGACCCACCATGAGAACACCACACCAAACCCCAAATATGATCATACAATTGTATTTCAAACAGTAGTAAGGCATGAATTCAAGTTGCTATACTGCAAATTGAATCAGCTTTTTATCTAAAGCACACAGGTGTCAACTTCTTTAGGTGTCAGTTTGGTAGGCAAAGTGAGAAAGAATTATTTGTTGGAGGAGATGGGGAGTCACAGGGTCACAGAGGAATTGTCCCAGAGACTCCTTACAAATATCCCTCTCCTTGCGGTTTCCACTTCTGAGAGTCATTTGGAAAAATGGTTTTCTCTAAAATGGTGGTTTTGCCTCTTTCCTGTTATTTTTTAACACATTTTTATTTTTCATTAATAACATCCATTCTATAGTTACATAAGACTTTTTTTTTTAAACCTAAAACTTTTCCTGTCCAGGTCAAAATATAACTTCTCTGGTGCTAGACCTAGCATTCCCAAACACATCAGAACAATAACAAGAATAGTGTAGTGGATATCTTACTTCTGACCTTGAAAGGAAATGCCTTTGGTTTTTGAGATGACTATTCCTTCTCATGATATGGGATGTTTTCATATTACTGATGGTATTATCAGATATAAATGTTAAACATTTTCAAACTCCTTAGAGCAACAGTGGAATCATATAATTTTTTCCCCTTTGTGCACTGAGACAAGGTTTTTAATAAAAATCCTAGCATTAAGTCACCCTTGAATTTTTATTTATTTTTCATTTTTTAAATTCTTTTGTTAATCCTTACCTAAGGATATTTTTCCATTAATTTTTTTAAGGGAGGGGGTGGAAGAGAGAGGGAAAGACAGAGAGAAACATTGATGTGAGAAAAACACTTTGATTGGTTCCTTTCTTCATATGCCCTGATCAGGGCCCCATCTAGGGAGGAGCCTGCAACCTAGGGGATGTGCCCTTGACTGGAATCAAACCCAGAACCCTTTGGTCCACAGGCTGATGCTCTATCCACTGAGCCAAACTGGCTAGGACCATCTGTGAATTATTAGAATAAACCTTTTTTAGTTTTGAAAAATTATTTGTGTATTGTTGAGTTGATGTTGCCAGCATTTTAGTGAAAGCAAGTGGAATTTTTTTCTTTGCTATGTTGGCTTTGTTTTATATTAACTTTGAAAAATAATTGGGGAAGTGTTTCATCATTCTGTAATTCTGGAACATCTTGAATAACGTGAGAATTGTTACTAGAAAGTTTTCAAGAACTTGCTCATAAAACTCTCTGGATCCAACTCCTCTTTTGGAGATAGCTAATAGAACATTTAAAATATCTTCCATAAATATAAGTCCATTTCAGCTTCCTACTTCTTATTGAATTATTTTTCCTTGAAAATTGTACATTTCTCCAGCTCCTAAGAATTTATTGCCATAGAGCTAAAAAAAAATTTTCATATTTTAAAATTTGCTTCACAATTGTGTTTATATTTGTTTTTTTCTCTTTTTCTTTTCAGTTAACATATCAGCAGTTTGCATATTTTAATTATATTTATATGAGATATTATAATAATAAATTTATCAATTCCACTTTTGTTTTTCTACTGCTTTACATAGTTTTTATTAGTTCCTTCATTATATTTCTCTAAGATTTATTTTTATATTTCCTACTCCATATTCTGCATAAATATTACTTAAAAATAATTATGGTCAAGCATTTTGTAAATTAACTTTTTTTTCAAGAAATTATTCATTTTTGATTTATCAGAAATATACATATTATTACAATCAGCAAATTATAAGAACCAGGTTCAGTAAGCCCACTTTCAACAGGTAATAAAAACAAAGTCTTTAAAATAAAAACAAAGACACAATGTTGTTAGGGTTTGAGATGTACCATACAGACAGCAGATGAGGGATTGCTTGGTCTTTATTAAAATTATAGTTTGCATTTAGGAAACAGTTCATAAGATTAAACTGTGAAATACAAAAACATTCATGGATTTGACTAAGTTGATGTACTTTTCACTCACATTGCCTGTTTGAGGCAACTGTGACATTATTGCAGATAGGGGTTACCCAACACATTTCCTCCAGGCTTACAGTGGGGCCAGGGTTCCTTTTTCCAGCCACCTGTAGGACAAATACTCAAATGCCTTGCTCTACATCGACTCCTTTGATTTTTCACAAATTTCTCAACAAGAAACACAACAGAATTTTATTCTTAATGGTATTACAATTGCACAAATTAAAATCCAATGCACAATTTTAGTTTTAGAAACTAGAAGAGGGGAAAAATGTTATCATCAATCATGAATTTGGAAAGATTTCTTTAAGAAACCAGAAGGAGTTATTTTAGAAACAACTGTATTCTATTCTTATGTAGTATATTTCTCTATAAAAGGTGTCCTCCCTTGGGCTGGCAGGTGGGGGTACATTCCGCCGAGTTCTAAGAGTTCCGTGTGGCTTCCTCTCCTGTACTGCCAATGCCCCAGGGGAAATGGGGGTAATGAGTCTTCATGGCGGCTCAGTCCAGTTCTTCCTTGTACGCTTCGATCTCATTCCAATTTAGGCTTCTCTTTCTCTTCTTCCATACCTAAAACAGGCAAAGTACTTTATTTGAACATCAGATTAAACTATGAACAGCGTTGCCAAGCTGCTTTAAAAAAAAAACCACACCTCTCCTCTCTCCGCTTCATGTCCACCCTCCTGCACTCAACCCTTTTCTCCAGTTGAGAAGGCAATTCATTTACTGCTTTCTCCAGAAACTTTCTCAGTGACCTCTCTCCCCACCCCTTTTCCTCAAATCAAGACAAATCATCTCCGGGACACACCCAGTCCTTGTGGCTTCTGGCAGTGAGGGACTCAAGTTAGTTCTTGACTCATGGAATTTGCTCAAGAAACCCCAACCAGACTGCTTTGTAAGGAGCTCATAGAAATAGGAGGTGCTGCTGATAGTTTCAAAGAGACCTTCTTCATTTTGATTTTATTCCTGTTCCTTCCCAAGACAAGGACTCTAGTGGTTAAAAGTCAAGCAATATATACAGTGCTAAGCTCATTGGGAGTTTATCAGCCACAAGAACTGTTTATTTTCATACCCATCTGTACTCAAACTCAAGTTCTCCCTCTCTTCAACCCAAGCCTCATAGACTTTTTTTTCTCTTTTAAATTTTTATTTTTATTTTTTAGAAAAATCTTTATTGTTTGAAGTATTATGTATGTTTCCTCCTGCCTCCCTCCATTGAACTCTTCTAGGCCTTCACCACCCTATTGTCTGTGTTCCAGGGTTGTGCATATTGGCATACAAATTCTTTGATCTCTTCCCACCCATCCCCCCTCCCCCCACCTTCCCTCTGAGATTCCACAGTCTGATCTGTGCTTCCATGTTTCTGGATTTATTTTGTTCATGAGTTTATTTTGTTCATTAGATTTTACATATGATTGAAATCATGTTATACTTGTCTTTCTCTGACTGGCTTATTTCGCTTAGCATAATACCGTCCACAGGCCCCTCCATGCTATCTAAAAGGGTAAGAGATCCTTCCTTTTTTATTGCTGCTACACTATGTTTTTCTTCCTGAGAGACTCAAATGGAACAGACCGGTAAGATTTCTGTCAATTGTCCATATAGTGAATAGCTAATAGTGTTTCATTTTTTCTAGAGATGAAAATGTTCAAGTCATTCTTATGGATCAAAGTTAACCCTGGCAAATGCTTCCCACTTATTTTCTAGATAAAGATTTTTCTTCTGATACTAAATTCTCAGAGAATTTTTGCTGGAACAAAATAACCCCAAATGTTTCCATGGAGGGTTTGTTGGTGTTCTTTCATAAACTGCAAGCTCTCCAAGGAAAGAGCCTTTACCGGCTTTATTCCAGATTATATTCCTAGAACATAACACAGTGTCTGCCTCCTAGTAGGGGCACAGTTCATCTTTACTGAACCAATTAATAAACAGTAAATATAGAGGAGGTCTGAGAAGGCTGGACTGGAGGGAAAGCAGAACAAAATATGGAACTTTCAATATAAAAAATCATAAGCCTAACTACAGAGGGTCACCATGATAGGGCTTGGTCACCATAATAGGGCTTCATTAGGAAAGAACCCCCCACCCCGGCTCCTAGTATGTATTTTGTGGGTCCAAGGTGGCAGCAGTAGAATGTAGACAACATGCTCTGAACAGGTGTCCTTAGATATTCTTTTAGGTTTGGTTTTTATGACTAAGGAACTGGCAGGGATCTGCACCACTTTTTCCAAAGTAATTTTCAGAATCATATTAAGGAAAACTTCAAATCCAGGAGTCAGGACATCTGAGGGGAGGAGGAGTAAGGTTGGGGGTGAGCAGGCAATTACTTAGTTGTTGGGTAACCAAGGCAAAGGCAGAAAAACACCACACAGATTCCATTCAAACAACGCACATGACTTGGGTTCCCACTTCATCCCTGTGGAGAAACTACCAGGAGCTAACTGCTTGCTTTTCTTTTTCAAGTCTGTTTCCTCCTAAGTGTTTTCCTGCAGATGGGTTGACTTGGCAGCAAGAGTGGAATCTTCAAAAGCAGGGGTGGAGAACAGGGGGTGTTCACTGACCCAGACAGGGAAAACGGCTCCCCACCTACTTTTGTTTGGCAGCTTGAAGGTAGAGGAAAAATTAGACAGCTGTAAATAATATTTGGAAGACCAGAGGCATAATTTCCACACAAACAGTTGAAAAAAAAACACACCAAAAACCTGTCAGAGCTGAGACAGGAGGTGCTTGTGGGAACACAGAGGAAGAGCCGAGAGACTCAGCCACCTGTGATTCCCCCAGACTGGGCGAGGGAATCAACTAGAGGGCAGCACTGGGACACCGCAGGCCTGGGTGGGCCTGAGTGGGACATGTGCTGGATGGGCAGCTGGGGGAGAAGAAGAGGGATGTTTCTGTCACATAGGCCAGGCTCGGGCCTCCTTTGTCCTTTGTTCTGCTTTCCCTGTCCCACCCCAACCTGTCATCCTTCGACACTTTCATTTCTGGTTGTATGAAGTTTGACTTTAACAACACTTACCCATTGGAATTGAAATATATATATTTTTTGTAAATATGTATTTTTATTGATTTCAGAGAGGGAGAGGGAGAGAGATAGAAACATCAATGATGAAAATCATTGATTGGCTGCCCCCTACTGGGGATCGAGCCTGCAACCAGGGCATGTAACTTTGACCAGAATCGAACTCGGGAACCTTCAGTCTTCAGCTGATGTTCTATCCACCGAGCCAAACCAGCTAGGGCAGAATTGAATTATTCTTAAAGTATAGAAATATTTCAGCTGTTGTAGGTTCAATTGTGTCCCCCACCAAATTCATCAGTTGAAGCCCTTCCCAATGCCTAGGACATTGGAGTGTGAGAGCAGGCCACGGATGTGGCTGGACAACTGTTTGCTAAAGAGATTAGGCAGATGACCTGTGGATCCAATTAATCATCTCAGCAGAGCCTGGAGGAACCTGTGGGAGACCCTCTGTCTGATGATTTTGACCCCCATGGATTACATGGGAGGCCAAAGGGGTTTTGAAAAATTTGTACCAGCAGAAGCATTGCCAGCATGGAGGAACAGGCAAGATAAAATGCAAGAGAAACGACTCCAAAGGAATTTCATGGGCTGGAACCTTATTGGCTCCAGAAGGTAGGGCTGCTGCCCAGGGCCAAGGATACAGGGCCACAGCCCCCTCCTGGTGAGTCCCAAGGACAGAACATTCAGCCAAAGAGGATTATTCTCAAGCCTTAAAATCGAATGGAATTTGCCCTGCTAGCTTTTTGACTTGGTTAGGAACCATGACCCTTTTTTACCCTGTGATTTCTTTCTTTTGGAAAGGAAGTATATATCCTATGTTTGTACAGCCATTGCATTTTGGAAACAGATAACTTTCTGTCTGGTTTCTCAGGTTTATAACTGGAGAGCAATTTTGCTTCAGAATGAATCATTCCCCAGTTTTACTCTTGTGTTATTTAGATAATATTTAAGGTGAGATTTAGGACTTAAGAGTTGAGTCTGGCCAAAACCGGTTTGGCTCAGTGGTAGAGCGTCAGTCTGCGGACTGAAAGGTCCCAGGTTCGATTCTGGTCAGGGGCATGTACATTGGTTGCGGGCACATCCCCGGTGGGGGGTGTGCAAGAGGCAGCTGGTCGATGTTTCTCTCTCATTGACGTTTCTAGCTCTCTATCTCTCTTCCTTCCTCTCTGTAAAAAAATCAATAAAATATATATTTTTTAAAAAAGAGTTGAGTCTGAAAAGACTTAGGGTGCTTTTGGGAACACATTTTGCGTGAATAAACGACATGAATGCGGGGGGAGGCTGAAAGCAGAATGTTATGGGCTAAATTATATCTCTCCCAACTAACTCCCAGTACTTTAGAATGTGACTGTATTTGGTTCTTTACCAAGTTATAATGAAGTCACTGGTGTGGGCCCTAATCAAATATGACCGATGTCTTTATAAAAATAAATTTGGAGACAGCCTCACACATAAGTGAGAACTCCATGTGAACAAGAAATGACCATCTTCAATCCAAGTAGAGAGGCTTGGGACATCACTTCCCTCAGAGTCCCCAGAAGGAGCCAACCCTCCAATACCATGATTTTGGACTTTTGGCACCCAGAATTGTGAGGCATTACTTCTCTATTGTTAAAGTCTTCCAGTCTGTGGTCTTCATTGTAGCAGCCCCAGCAAACTAATACAATATCCACCAAGTCACATGGAATTACTTTTTTTTTTTTCAAAAGAGTAAATGATTATCTATTAATCTAGCCTATTTTAAGAGCTCTTTTCATAGTTCCTATCAGGTTGGTCTATATTGTTATTTTATAAGCTAGGTCCATGGTTCTGAGAAAACTTTCTGAATTCTCATGTGTCTGATTTTCCAATGGTGACATTCTTTTGGTTCATTAGAAATAACACTAGATTGAACATCTGTCAGAAGGAGGTGGCTCTGCACCCACCTTTTTTGGTGGGTTATGTAAGATTTCTGGCCTCAGTTGACTCTTTATAAAAGGGAAGGGGTGGCTTAGATGATTTTCTAATCTTCCTTTTAGTTTTTTGATTCTTTAATAATGTGATTTTTATCTCATAGTTGAGGACAACATACCGTAGTGTAACCAAGTGAGCCATTAAGATTCATTATGAATAAAAGGAAGGGAGCTGAAATGTAGTCTTCCTACTTCTTGGGGGGATTTTGTTTGGGGTGTAAGTAAATGTACTCAGGCTTGTAATACTGTAATGAATAGAATTCAGTTCATCCTAACAATATGCACACAAACACACATAGGACACACTTCTTTTAACTGGAAGTTTCAGATTAATCTACCTACCGAACCAGGCAGCTAATGGGACAGCAAAGTGGCCAGGTGAGGATTAGGGAAAATTAGACAGCCATCTAAAGGAGGCAACTGATACTCAATTCCAAACCATTGTTGCCAGAAGAGAACAGTGGGCTCAGTGTTGCCAGATCTTAATATATTTGAGAAGATAAAAATTTTATGTGAAATCTTCCAATTTTGAAGTGTTGCCCCCCCCCCCAAAAAAAAAAAATCCCACTATGTAGGCCTAAAAAAGCTTTTTGGCAGGTAATTTTTGGAGGAGGCCATCAGTTTATGATCCCTCCCATGCAGATAAAATTAATCCCTATACCTGACATGAGTTACAAAATGTTAGTCATCTTTAACTGAAGTAGCTGAAGAGAATGGCACAAATTGAGCAGGTGATTCAACAGACCCTTGGTTTCACTATTCATTTTTAACTTCTCACTCAAAGCTGCTAAAATGTAGTATTATATTAATCTAGATTGGACTTTTTTCTCTCTTGCCTTTCAGGTCATATTCTCTTAGAAGTAGTAGAACAATGGCAAATGACTAATAGAATCAAGCCCATCATATATCATTTATTGGATATACAGTATTGAATTATGGCTTTTCTCACAAAAACTTAAGAAAATTTAATTTTATTATTTTAAAAATATATTTTTATTGATTTCAGAGAAGAAGGGAGATGGAGAGAGAGAGAGACAGAAACATCAATGATGAGATCAAGCTCACAACCTGAGCATGTGCCCTGACCAGGAGTCAAACCATGACCTCTTGGTTCATAAATTGACACTCAATCATGGAGCCACACCGGCCAGGCTACATTTTATTTTTAATACATTTTAAAAGTTAGCTAAATACTCTTATAAGTTAATTAGTAGAGAAAGATTACTTTTCCCATTGAACAGAAAGAAAAATTATAAAAAGATTAATTTCTGGTCCCTCAAGCTGTGGCCTTAACTGAATAAAATATTTCGGTACTTGTTCTAATAGATCCCTTATTAAAATCAAGCCAGCTGCTGAGAAAAGAAACCCTCAAGTTCCTCCCGGCCATTTAGCATTGGCTAACACTTTGACACATACCATCTTAGAAGATCCACACACAAAAGAAGTCCAATTCAGCAATCATGCAATGACTGTTTTATTTGTCTAATTAGGTCACTTTCCTGGCACAGTGTCTGGCACAATGTAGGGTACTCAATGTCTGCGGAACATAGGTCAGTTTCTGGTGAGGCCTAGAATGTTGTGATTAGTTCAGAGGAGATGCCCAGAGTTCTCTAAAATCCTCAAGTCAAAAATAAAATAAAATAAAATAGTCATCTTGTCTTTGGATGGATTGCCGTGAGGGCTCAAGTCACTACATATCTGTGCTGCTGCTTTTTTCACCTTCCCATTCGTTTGTTATCTTACATACACTTTGGACAGGTTTTTCACAACTTGGGTAAGATTACGTGCCTTGCCAAGATGGAGGCTCTGCTTAAACAGAAACAAAAGACAAATCAAAGCGTAGGTTAAAAAACTTTTTGCAGCAATGAAGTATTACCCTTTAGTGCCCGGACTACTTTGCCCTTAAACATGACAGTCACTGGTGAATCACGTGGCCTGGGTTTCCGGTACTGCTTCAATGTTTAGCAGAATGGTGGTGAGATGTCTCTGAGGCTACTGCCCCCGGGAAAGGATGATGTAAAAAGTGGAGATGTGGGTGGCTTCCATCGAGACTGGTTACATGTAATGTTGGTCTATTTCGTTGGGGGTCCTTTAGCGAAGGCAGTACTTATTAATCAGAGTGTACTCCCTAATTTTTTTCCTGTTAACACTATATTTCTCACTATAAAATTTATGGATGTGATTCTTTTTTCTTAGATGTAGATATTTTACTAGCTAATAAGATAAAGTGAGTAATGAACCTTTCAGGTAACTGCCAGGAGCTCTTAAATTAACATTGTTATTACAAAAAAGTAACTCTTCCTAAGTGATCCCGTGCTACAGAAGATTTTTCCTTCTATCTCTGCACACACTTTTTAAGTCTGAAATTCTCTTGTTTTATGCTCCTCTAAACAATACTTACTTCTCTGTGTATCCCAGATATAGCTGTTCAGGGCTTCTCCCAGCAGGTACAGAAAGTTCAAAAAGATGGTTGTAGACCCGAAGAAGATGATTCTGGCTCCCGGGCCAATGTGTTCCAGGAAGGGGTACGCCCACATCCCAGTTACATGATGCACCCAACACACCCTGCAATGGAATTGCAATGGAGACAAAGATAGGACTTATTCTCAGGTCAGATTTCAAAATTGCTGATTTTACCAACAGGACCCCTCCCGCTATTCCAACCATGCTTCAGCAATGCCAGTCACAGCTTTCCTTCTGAGACAGAAACGCTGCAATTCCTTTCCTTCCTTTCTTTCTTCTTTCTTTCTTTCTTTCTTTCTTTCTTTCTTTCTTTCTTTCTTTCTTTCTTTCTTTCTTTCTTTCTTTCTTTCTTTCTTTCTTTCTTTCTTTCTTTCTTTCCTGAACTAATTTTAAATTCACAGAAGAGTAGAAAATATGGTATAGAGAGCTCTAGTATGCCCTTTGCTCAATTTCCCTGCCTGGTGACATCTTGTATAACCATGGTTAAACAGAAGCAGTGAACATATGTACACAACACTACTGACAGATTTTATTTGGAATTTCTGTTTTCCCATTCATGTCCTTTATCTGCTGCATTTGGTAGTCACGACTCCTTACTGTCCTCCAATGTGGCAGTTCCTAAGTTCCTCCTTGTCTTTTCTGACTCTTGAAGGGTTCTAGTCAGGGATTTGAAACTGTTGTTTTTCTAAATACTGTTATATAATATTCTTAATCTCTTCTTCACATAAGCACATCCCATCTATTTTTAGAAAACATCTATTTTTTATTGATCTCAGAGAGAAAGGGAGGGGAGAGAGAGAGAGAGAGAGAGAGAGAGAGAGAGAGAGAGAGAGAGAGAGAGAGAGAGAGAGAGAGAGAGAGAGAGAGAGAGAGAGAGAGAGAGAGAGAGAGAGAGAGAGAAAGAAACATCAACGATGAGGGAGAATCATTTATCAGCTGCCTCCTGCATGCTCCCTACTGGGAATTAAGTCCACATACCAGGTAGATGCCCTTGGCTGGAATCAAACCCAGGACCCTTCAGTCCGCAGGCCAACACTCTATCCACGGAGCCAAATTGGCTAGGGAATGATGAAGACTTTCTTTTTAAAAAGTTTTTTTTTTGACTTAGTAGGTCATCAAACCATCTCAGATGCAGAAGTCCTGTTATGTGGGGTTTCACCTGGATTGGTGTGAATGATGCATCTGCGTGTCCCAACAGGATGTGCGTTCACCATTTGTTTTCTTGATATAATCAAGGCTCAATTTTCTGCACAAAAATGACTCATGAACTTGCTCATCTATTCCTGGAGACTTCTTGGTTCTTGGTTGGCTTTCAATTTCTATCTCAATCTAAGGCCACTTTGTCTGGATACCCAAAAAGCTTCTGCTTAATATAATGATATCAATTTTAATTTTGCCCCCCTCCAAACGATAACCGTTGTGCATGTTTGTGTGAGTGTGTGTGCATGTGTGCATACATACATATGCACATGTTATAATATCATAAGACTTGTGGGTGGTCTTTTTATTAAGTGTAGCTCCAGTGTTATTCACTTTAATGAGCAATTAAAATGGATATTTATTGCCTTCTATCTGAGTGCTCTGATACACACTAAGGATACAGAAGTAAATGAGACAAAGGTGATTTTTGTCCTCACGCAGTAGCATCTAATGAGGAACACAGATATAAAAAAGGAAATAACTAGTGTAGTCAGAATTAAGAAAAGTTTACATGTCATGGATGCTCAGAGATAATTTCCTGCTTTTGAGAGGAATTTACACTTACTATCAGTGTTTCTTTCTCTTATGTATTCAACTTCCTTTCAAATTGATTTTTTTTTCACAACTGATAAATATGCTCTAATGCCTTTCAGTAAAGCACATAAAAAAATTTTCCATCAACTTCACAAATACTGCTCACTCTCTCTCTTTCTCTTAAAAAACAAGCTTCTCCAGTGAATCTACACTCATTGACTTCATATCTACACCTTGCACTAATTCTCCACTCACAACAGTTGGCTTCTATTCTTGGTACTCCATTAAAACACACTGGCACCCAAGCCAGGTTGGCTCAGTGGATAGAGTGTCAGCCTACAGACCAAAATGTCTCGGGTTCAATTCCAGACGAGGGCATGTACCTTGGTTGCAGGCTCCTCCCCAGCCCGGGTCCTGGTTGGGGCTAGTGCAGGAGACAACTAATTGATGTGTTTCTCTCACATCGATGTTTCTTTTTGAAAAACAAACAAACAAAAAAACACACACTGGCTATTATTATGTTTCCCAGTTTTCTTCCTATCTCTGACACTGCTCTCCTTGGATAAGTTCACCACTCACTACCAAACCATTAAATGCTGAATTTCCTTAAGGTTTGGTTTTAAAACCTTCTTATACTATGCATTCTCAGTTAATGAGCTTTTTCATGGCACTGCTTCATATCTACTACCTAGTCACAGATATTTCAAAAATTTATGTTCCCATCCAGATCCCTCCTCTGTACCAGAACAGTTTATCCAACAGTCATCATCACATCTCATTTTGCACATCATAAAGATACCCCTGTCTTGATATATCTGCAGCCAATGTCATGCTTGGTTCCCTCAAACCTGGTCCTCCTCTGTTGTTTCTTATTCTTTATCCCTGTGAATGGTATTACCTCCATTCAGTTTTGCAACCCAAACTCAGGAGTCATCTTTGTTATTTTTCTCTCATCACACATTTTCAATCCATATCTTTGTCTTGTCAAGGTTATCTCATATCTCTCCAATATGTTTATTGCTTACCATCTCCATCACCATATGGTAACTTGTATTAAATCATCCATCTGTCTAGAGTACTGTCACAGTTTCTAATCTGTCTTCATATCTAATTTTGTCTCCTTCCCATTCATCCCCACATCTGTTAGAGTTTCAAAATCAGAAATCTGAACACATTATGTCTCTGCCTCAAACATGTCAATGGCCTCCCATTGCTTTTTTGTTAAAGACCCACATTTTTAACAAAGTCTAGAGTGCCCTTCATAGATAGAATGGCTTCTGCCTGATTCATCCCCCCATATCATACCTGGCTTTTGTTATGCTGGCTTTCATTTGCTTCCTTGATTTTGCCATGCTCCTTCCTGCCATGTGGATTTTCATTTGCTCCATTTTTTTTTTCTGTCCATGCTGTTAGTTACCTTACCCTTAGACTAATTAAATTATAGTTCTCCTTTATATCTTAGTTCAACTATTATAATAAACCAGTCATCAGTTAGAAAATTTTCTCAGACCTATTATATTAGATCAGATTTTATAAACTCAGAACCATAAATCTCTTTTATATTAAAGCTATTCTTTTGATTAGTACTTAAATTTAAATGACATATTTACTTGAATAATATTTATCCCCCTTTATAGTATCTAAATATCTTATTATATTTTCAATACTTATCACAATGCCTGTCACATAGGAGAAAGAATACATGAATCAAGGTGCGTTTAAGCTGTGATAGGAGGAGTAAGAGTTCATCAAACAAAGATGGGAGACAAGAACTTTTTAGCCAAATGGAATTGCATGTCAAAACACCTGAAAACAAGGGAGAGCTCCCAGATATTCAAGAAGAAAACATTTTGTTGAGGTCAAGGGAGAGAGGGCATGAGGGGCAGGCAGACACTACCCTGTGGGTGACTTTTTAAAACATGGTAAGAAATGTAGACTTATCCTGGTATGGACATCAGGAAGTCTTTGAGGGGTTCCGAATAAATGTGAAACAGATCACATGGTCAGGAGAGTGGGTTATTGGATCTTTAGGAAGGATGGTTGCAAGCAGGTTGGTTGGCAGCTTAAATTCAACCACAGTGGGAGTTCTTACACCTAGAATATAAGGTATGAATAAAGTGAGTCCATGAGGAAGCCCTAAAAAATATCAAGATTTAAGGGATAGGTTGAGGAAGGTGAGGCTTAAAGGAAACAAAAAAAGTGGGCTAGTGACATAGAAGAAAGACAGAAAAATGTGGTGTCTTGATGCCAATGAAGTGGTTCAAGGGTGGCGTAAACCACATTTATTAACACTGTAACACTGAGAACTCAGAATAATTAGAAAACAAACTTTGCACCTACAAAGATATTTTCTGATTTCAAGTGTTATATGTATCATATAAATCTACTTTGGATGCTGAATGTATATAAATGATATATAGTTAAGTAAAGACAAATTAACATGGTCAAATTCTGTAGCTCTTTATACCATATGGCCAAATGTCATCCCATCACACAGTTCACAACTTGTGGAGGTCACTGGATCCCTCAAGGAGCTGTAGTGAAGGAGACATAGCATCCCTCCCTTTCCTGGCTCTATTACCCTTATATATCCTGGGTAGACACACATACCTATTTTACTACTGATGACCTGTCAGTTCTCAAGATTATTTTATTTTTTTAAAATATATTTTTATTGATTTTAGAGAGGGAGGGAGAGGGAGAAGGAGATAGAAATATCAATGATGAGAGAGAATCATCCATTGGCTGCCTCCTGCACTCCCACTGGGGATGAAGCCCACAACCCAGGCATGTGCCCTGATTGGGAATCGAACTGTGACCTCTTGATTCATAGGTCAAGGCTCAACCACTGAGCCATGCTAGCCAGACAGATTTGTTTATTTTAAAGAAGATTTTTAAATTGCTTTTATTATCACATTTTGGTAAGGAGCAAGGCTATTAGGTCAGAAGACACAGAGAACACAGATTCAGTGCAATGACAGCTAATAGCTAGTGATACTGAATTCTTAGTGACAGGCACTGTTGTAAATATTTTATGAGCAACACTTTCGGGAACATGTTAGAGTAGTACCATTTGACAGATGAGGACACTGAAGCCCAAGGAGGTTCAGTCGGTGGAGAAACAGGGCTATGTACTCCAGCAGAACAAGTCTTAGCTTGTATGCCAGGCTCCTCTAATGCTCTGAAGACTAGAATATGATGGATAGGAGCAGGGCTCCGGATGGCTTTTAATATGCTCAGAACCAAAAATAACCTAAGTATAAAATCTCTATGTAAGTTTCTCTTTCCCCTCCACTGACTCTAAAAGTAATTCACTCTCATTATGGAAAATGTGTGAGATACAGAACTGTTGCAAGATGCAAGATAAG